TTACTTAGTGCTTATTTATCTAGGGTTAGCTAAGTATTAAACTATAATAGCTAGTGTTTGTAACGTAGAGTTATATAGATTTATTATAATTATTATATTATAGCTTTAGAGTAACAGTGTAAGACACTTCTCTACTATTAAGTATAGTTCTAGTAAATCTAGTTAGGTAAATAACGTAGAGCAGCAAGTCTTAACGTAGTTTTAGGTTGTGCGCAAGGTCTCTGTAAATATATCTAATACTAGTAGCTCTAGTGTTAACTAAGGCTTTAAGGTTACTCTTAACACTACCTTGTTAAACTATATAAAGTATTGTAATACAACGTTTCTAGGTATTAGTCTAAGATTTAGACTAGAGTTTAGCAGAGATTTAGTAAGTGCGTAGTTCTAGAGAGCGACTTATCCTTAGGATAAGGCTTTTCCCTTCTAGAATCAGTTACAAGAACGTTGTTCTTAGGATCACAAAGGTCGCGAGAATTCTAACAAGACAGAACTAGTAGACTAGGTATAGTTGTAGTTACGCGCGCTATAGAATTAGATATACTAAGTAGGTAGAGAAGCGCTGCAATTCTTAGAGATGTAACCTTTCTAGTTACACTTAAAGTAGTAGCCTTTCTTAATCCTCTTTTGTTATTTAGAGAAACTAGCGGGGGCGTATACTAACGCGTCTATCTCTATTGCGTTAGAGTAGGTTATAGGGTAGCGTTATAGACAGTCTAGTAGAAAACGGAGGTTATTATTATACATAGATATTAGGTTAGCGTAATTGTTAAGGTCGCTAGACAAGGCTTCTCTAACTATTGCACGTTGAAGTTTGTGGGATAGAGAGTTCTAGAGGGATATAATTAGGCTAATCTTATTTAACCTAGTGTTAGTAGCTAGTTGTTAGAATTTAGCAAAGTAGAAGGTAAAGCTGCGCTTTTCTTAACAGAGTCTGCTTAATTAACTAAGAGCTGTTAGCTTCTTGTTTAGGTCTCTGTAGGTAGCTTTAAGAAAGGTAACAAGCTAGTCTATATTATAGATATTCTTGTCTATAAGCAGGTTAATAAGAGCTACTACGTTCTTCTTAAGTCTAGAGTAAGCGTATAGCAGGCGGGATCTTTTATTTAGGTATTAGTCTGCGTTTCTCTTAAGCTTGTACCTAAGCTTGCGGACAAAGGCAGAGAGGTTCTTTTATTAGCTATTAAACAGAGGCAGGTTAGGTAGATAGTTAGTTTAGGGAAGGTTCTTTAGGTTCGCGTTAGGCGGTGTTGTAGGATTTAAGCTAATTCTAGATAGCTCTTCTAGACAAACTTAATCTCTCTTAGCGCTGGTTTAAGTAATAGCTAGAGTAGCAGCAGAAGTAGACCTAGTCTTAATAGACTTAAGCTTCTAGCGAAGTTCTAGAATCTATTAAGAGTGTTAGTTTTCTTATTTAGCTAGATTAGCAAGTAGTGCTTTATTACTAGCTTTTAATACAGCAGAATTAGCTTAGATAGCATTTAGCTAATTTAGAATTAATTGTAACGCGTTAGGTTGCCCTTAAGTAGTTATAGTAGTGTAACGTAATATAATATTATAAGACGCTACAAGCACGTATTTAAGAGCTTACAAGAAGCGTTAATTATAGCTACGTACAATATCTAGTGTAATACAAGACGTTGCGTAAAGAACAGAGCAGAGTGTAAAAGTAGTAAAAGATATAGCTAGGGCTATACGCGGCGCTTAGGCCTTAGCTAGCTAATTAACAGATTTTAGGTAGTCTAGTGAGCTAACCAAAATCTATGTGTTCAGGTGTTAGGGGAACCACGGTGGTTACCGTGACACTTTAAGAAGAATAAAAGACGTACTAATTCTACTAATCTTCTATATAATTAAGTAAGTAATTAGTGTTATTCTTATAGTTCTCTTTTGTGTACTCTTGTTTGTTAAAATTCTCTAGTTGTTAAAGGTAGTACGCAGGCGAATAATTCTTGTTAGACAAAAGCTATGCCTTATTCTCGTTACTCTTATTCTTAATGTTAGCAAATTCGTTAACGTCTATCTAATTAGTGTCTAGCTCTATACTATTGTGTGTATTAGATCTAGTGTAATCACTATTATAGAAGGAACTCTTAACTAGTAAACGTTGTTGCGTGTTGCGCAGTATTTGCAGAGACGTAGAAAAGGTAGAGCAAGTAGAGGTAGAGTATACAACTAAAGCTATATATCTAAGGCAAGGCGTAAAGAGAGAATAGAATAACGCAACAAGAATTAAAGTATAAACAATAATGCAGGCTGCAAAAGAGGAACAAGAAAAGAAGAACAAGGTCCCTGTTAATATTACTCTAGAGAGCGAGGAAGAAGCCTTTAATACTCTGCTAGCAGGACAACCTTAGGTTAGCATTTACTTGTAGTGTTCGGAAGAGCGAGTTAAGTCGCAGGCGTGCCGCAGCATTTCTAACAGGAAACTAAATCGGCCCTTAGACTTGTTTAACACCTACGCTAGCTAAGGTAGAAAAGCTAGAGACGCTTCTACTTAGGCTACAGCCCGCACAATTAGGGGGGTTTTGCGGTAAGTTAGCATCTAGAAACAGCGTCACAAACTACTAAATTCAGCAGCTAAATCGCTGTTAGATTATTTAAGATAGTAATAATACTCTACGTTTGCTATAAATAAGCCTATATAGCTAGCACTAGCTAATAGAGAAGAAGTTACCTATCTTACGTACGCTGTAGATATTACTATTAAATATAGCAACTACATTACTACAACTCTATATTATGTTACAAATATAGAGAAGTATAACGTTATTCTTAGAATAAACTAGCTAGACTATTACTAGCCTATTTTAGAATTTAGTTTCTTCTAATCTATAACATTTAACTATAAGAACTATAAAGTTAATTATCTAAAGAATAGTCTCTAAGATACTATATATAAAGACTGCTTACCTATAAGCTCTACCTATAAGTATATAATAGAGAACACTTTCTCTAGCAACCTTAAGGTTTTCTTTATTAGCGCTAAGGCTGCTTTACTTGCTGCTGTTAAGAACTCTAGCTCTATTATATAGCTTTAGCCTTATTACTTTAATAAGGTTAAGTAATCTAAGAACCTATACACTAGTAACTATAACTTAGATGCTTTTAAGAAACAAGTTGTAGGCCTTACCTCTATTATATAGGCTAACTTTAAACACTATATAGCTAAGATAGAATACCTATTAATAAACAAAGAGAAAATCTATAAGCTAGTACTAGTATACATTCTTAACGCTTTCTCTAATCTCTTTAGTCTATAGTTAGCTAACGTGCTTTTTTCTCGCTAACTAGAAGTAGATTATACTATTAATATTAAACTAGGCATAGCTACGCTAAAACCTTACATCTATAGACTTATACGTAAAGAGACGTTAGCTGTTAAGGCATATATTAACAAGATAATTAGTAAGAGTTTTATTTAGCTCTCTACATTACTATATACATTACTAGTACTAGTAGTAAAGAAGCTGTCTAGAGAACTAAGAATCTATGTTAATTATTATAGACTTAACGCTGTTACGCAAAAGAACTATAACGCACCTCTAGCTATTAAGGAAATGCTAGTAAGAATAGTAAAAGTCTAAATTATAACGCTTATAGATATTATTACTATCTTTAACTCTATAAGAGTTAAGAAGAGACATAAAGAGAAGACTGTCTTTCTTATCTAATATAGGCTTTATAAGTACTTTGTAATACCTTTTAGTCTTTGTAATACGCCTAGCACGTTCTAAATATTTATTAATAAGACTCTACGCAACTATCTTAACGTTATTTGTATAGCTTATCTTAACAACATTCTTATATATTTAGATAATAAGAGTAAGTATAAAAGCTATATACTTACTATCTTAGATAAGATTAGTAAGGCTAGTATATATCTTAACGCCTCTAAGTGTTTCTTCTTAACAAAGTAGGTTAAATACCTTAGCTTAATACTTACTACTAATAGCCTTAAGATAGATCCTAAGAAGGTATCTACTATCTTAGAATAGTAGACGCTACGCAACGTTAAAGACGTTTAGGCTTTTCTTAGCTTTGCTAACTTCTACTACTAGTTTATTAAAGGGTTCTTATTAATAGCTAAGTATCTTATAGAACTTACTAAGAGTAATAGCAAGAAGGCCTTTCCGCTTACGCCTAACTCTAAAGTAGTTACTTCTTTTCTACGCCTTAAAAAAGTGTTTAAGAGCGTAGGTATACTAGCCTATTTTAACACTAATCTAGACACTTAGCTAGAAACTAACGCCTCTAACTTTGTTATAGTAGTAGTACTATTATAGATATACAATAGTATTCTCTATCTAGTAGCGTTTGTCTTCTATAAGATAAACTCTACTAAATACAACTATAAAATCTATAATAAAAAGTTACTTACTATTGTACGCGTCTTTAAAGAGTAGCGTTTTAAGCTAGCTAGAACGCTTAATTCTATAAAAGTCTTGTTAGACTACTAAGCTCTCTAGACTTTTATAACTAATAAGCGCCTTAATTAATAGTAGGTATAATAGACTAAGTTCTTGTTAAAGTTTAACTTTAGTATAACCTATTAACTAGAGCGATAGAGCACTAAGCCTAACGCCTTAACCTGTTAACCTAGAGATCTACCTAAGAACGCTAACAACAATTACTTTCTATATCTATGTGGCAGTGGAAATGCAGCCGTTTTGGGGGTGGTTTGGCCGCTGCTTTTGGAGGTGTTTTCACCTCGCTTAGGCCCTGTTCTACTGCCGCTTTAACGAAACCATGCGCTGCGGAGCCTCACCTCGCCAAGGAGTCCCTGTCCCTCTACCTAGCGGGGTTTTGAAGGGTGAGGAGGGGCGGAGCTGCGACTCCCACCAGCGCTACAGCGAAACCCAAGAATAGTACGACGCATACAACCAACTTGCCTGTGGCCCGGCGTCTACTTAAAGTGATGGAATGCCCACTCTCCACCTGCCATCGCTATCGGCTCTCCTACTCCTCCCTCCCCTTCCTCCAATTGCTCGCTTCCTGCTGCAATGAGGGCGTTAGCCACATCCACCGCAACCAACGTCGCTCCGACGCGAAAGCTTCAACCATCGCATCGATCCAACCCGTCCTCAGCTACCGACCCTGACTCGTGTTGGGAAGGAGACTCAAGCACCGAGTCGTTATCTGACACGTACACCGACCCTGACATTGAGGCGAATGAAGGCATCGAGCCAGGCACTGGTGAAGATGCGGGTCTCGTGCTGGATAAGGATCTAGACCCCCACTTAGACTCTGAAGCTGAAGAGATTCTGGGGGACATTGCCCAACTGAGGACGGAGGGGCCATCAAAGCCAAACCATACCAAGCAAACGACGAAGCTATGGAAGAGGGAAAGCGAGCACTGGGAGAGGTGAGATCTATGCCGTTCGCCTGCGCCTAATCGTCATCAACCCTTAACCATTGCGCACCAGGTACTGCAATAAAATCAAGGACAAGACCAAGAGATCCCCAGAAGAACAGCTACGCGCATGCGAACCAGAGGTATTCAAAGCGTACCTCCGCTGGCGGAAAAAACATTCTCGGCTTAAGAAGGAAAGCTCAATACGGAGCTATTGGAAAAGATTAAGCATGTGTTACACGGATCTCACACGCCACAAAATGGATACTGATATCCTCACCGACGTTTGTAATGTATGTTCTGATGGATGTGTTTCTCCCTTGCATCATGGCGCGCTAACATCGTAGTAGTGGATTCCAACTCTAATGCTTGATAAATCCCAGAAGGAAAAGCTTGCCATGTACGTCCAAGACCTCTACGCCATCCTTCACGCACTCTGGGTGGATGACACCAAACCCCTCCATGGTTTTATTCGAGTTCAGATATCGCTGCTTCTACTTCTCAGCGCTGTTACAGCGACGAGACCTGGAGCCATTGTGGAGAGCGCTAGTGCCAAAGGTAGCAACAAGGCACTCTCGTTCAAGAACATCGAGATTCTGAAGGTTCGCAGCATTGAGGATCCCCACCGGAGTACCATCACGGCGAATGTCAATCTTGAGAACATAAAAAATAAAGAGAGAGGTGGGAAACCGTAAGTTGATTGGCAGATATGGGAGTTAAGAAGTCTCGCTGATTAGTGTTGTTTTGCAGGAAAAAGTTCACTTTCTATCTAGAAGGGACCCCCGCCTTCTGCATAGTTTCGTATATCCTGAGCATTGGCGTTAGTCGAGGAGCATTGAGGAATGACTTTACTCGTGTTCAGGAAATATTCGACCTCAATATACCTGCGGGCCGTGACGTACTCCGCATCAAATGGAAAAAGCAATTGCTAAACCAACCATTTCTATGCGATGTTAGGAACACCAGCGAGGGTATCCGGCTACTAACAGAACAAGCGTTTCCATATGCGAAATACCGCGATATATTCGTACGCTTAGGACGTGTTGCGGGCTTTGAGAAATCGTTGGAGCTGTACCAGCTCCGTCGGGCTTCTGGGAGGAACATAAACAGTAAGTCTGCCTTAGATCGTGTGTTGCTCTTGCTTCGCCCAAGCTTATAGGATCCACCAGGCGCACTGAACCCAGCTGAACGGAATCAGACTATGGGTAATCTTGGGAGTACATACGAGAAGTATTACACGCCAACACATATTGCCCGCGACTTTCAATCCATCTACTTTGGAAGTCCTTCAGAGGACCTTCTCATCGAATCTGTCGCACGCATGGGCTTATCACGGGATCGACGTGCACCAACGGAGCTGGATGACGCGCAACAGGAGGAATTACGGAACGACCCCGCACTCGCGGTCCTTCGTAAGGAGCGAGAAACATACAAAGGACAGCTTCACGACCAAGGCTTTCAGCCACTTTCGAAGGGTCAAGGGACGGATCTTTACAAGAAATACGAGGACACGAAGCGAAAGATTGGCAGTACATACCAGAGATTGTACAGAGAACGATTAGACGCGGCCTACAACGAGTTCCATGAATCGATCGATACAATCGAGATAGCCAGGCAACTCAGTGGGAAGGCCGCAGTCGAAGTCCTGACGCTACCAGCCGTTGAGTTTGAACTTCGGGAGCGAGCCACCATCGCCGGCATGCTCTTCAAGCCGATTCAGGACGACAAAACCCGGGTAAGATTTGTGCGAACCTTGGCTAGATTGTGCCACAAACAAGAAACGCGGCAACCAAAGGCATTCAAGCGAAAAAATGTGGGTTTGGTAACCCGCGAAGCCAACGGCTCATATTTGTCAAACAAACGAAAGAAGGGCACCGATGGTGTTGAGAACAGTCCGCTGAATCAGGATGGCGGAATTGCGGAAGAAGAGCTTGACGTACCTCCGCGCGGAAACATCTTGCAGGCTCGGTTTCGGCAGCTATACCCAAGAGTGCTCCCTCATCCGGTATGCCTTATCTGTATAGGGAATGAAGAGTTCTCGTATGAACGGAGGATGCGCCATGTTCCACGAAAGGATGTCCTGAAGAAGCACGTGGAGACCCATTTCCGACTCCCTGAACTTCAGTCAGGGTTTCAATGCCGCCACCCTAGTTGTTCCGTCATGTTGATTGACATGATGCATTTCAAGAGGCATGCGCTTGACGTTCATGGAGTGTCTCACTGATGCCCCCAAACTCCCCTCCGCTGGTACACAGTGCAACGAAAGCAAATTATCACAGCTGAATATACATGGCAACGGTTCCTTTTTGTTTTTTCGATGAAGTATGCGCTTAGATTTTGCCCCTTCTTCACCGTAGCTTTGCTTGCAGTGTCTATGTCTGAAGTTACCGCGACGTCTTAAGCTCGTGCAGCAAGTCAGCCAGCTGCGCTAAAAGCCACGGCTCCAAGTGCCGATAAGCGCATCAGCCTCATCATCGTCTTTCATTCATGAAATGTGCGACAGACTGGCATTCAACAAGACAAGGGGCATAACGCTGTCGATTATCTTTCTATAGCGCTGGCTTGATATCGGCTAGCTCGGCGGTGCGCAACGTGATGTATGCGATGGAGGTACCCGGATGTCGCTGCGTTAGCTTCCCAAACGTTGTCTAGATAGATAGGCCATTGTACCACGAGCTGAGGGTAACCATGCGAAGGTCGTCGTTCACAGCCCACTTTCCAATGATTTGAAAACCTGCACATACCATCCGTAGCCATTGTGAAGCCTGTGATTATGCCTCGATTGGTTTCTTGTGCTAGGCACATCCATTCGTTTCTTTCAGCTCATTCTGAGCCACCTGGAGGATCTGCTTCATATCAAGGTACAGCTGTGGGTTGGGAGACCTCCATCTCTCACCATTAGGAAATACTTTCCTCCGAAGCTTATTAACATATGGGAGTAATGGCTGGTAATATGGCGTAAAGTTGGTCTGAGCTGTTTTGAGGAAGTCTCGTTCATCATCCACGACGCCTTTTTTTGCGCCAGCTAACTCTTCTGAATCGAGGTAGTTCCATTTATCGAACCGTGGAACGATCCTCGCTTCCTGCGGACCGTCATAATGAATGCATATCCAGAATAGCACCCAGAAAAAGGATTCAAGATCGTGCATGTAGGAGTGTTGTTCGTCGTCTAAGAGAACCCCGATTGCCATGAATGCTCTGGTACCGGTCTTACCCCGAGCGCCTGAAGAGTGTTCGCGCTGTTCTTTGATGGCAAGATCGAGATCGATCAAAAACGCCGGCCAGGAGGGGTTATCGTTATCTTCGTTCACCATGAGATTGTTTAGCGATATGTCGCGTTGAAGCATGCCTGCTCGTGTATGCAACGACTGATAACCTTCGATACATTGTTCGAATGCAGCCAGCAGACTGATCTGGGAGCTTGCTTTGTAGATGGCCTTCCCGTAGTCGCTGACGATGACACGGCGATGAATCCGGTTCGTAATTGCAGGTTTTGTTGGGGAGCTTGAGCAAGTGCGCTTGCTAAGCGGCATTGGCAGTCCTGTGCAGCTCGAGGATCGCTTCCGTCCGGTAACGCTGCTACTTACGTCTCTCCGCGAGGCCCGGCGCCCCGTCCTGCTCGGCGGCGGCATTGGCTTTTCCAGCTTGTAGTTTGTTGCCTTCGTTATGTCCAAGCCTTTCCGTATATTCTTGCAGATGTCGTCGTCTTGACCGCCTATACGGACCGTCTCGTGGTGGAAGTACGTCGCAACATTCTTCACCTGCTTTTCGGTCGCCTCACGTAGCAATTCGCCCTCCTCTTCGCGCTCCGGATACTGCCATGAATCCTTGACAACGAGTGGCGTGCCAGGATCTTCTTCTTGATAGACTTTCCAGCAGGTTGTTGCCCGACCAGTGACGCAAGGCACCCGCTTTATGACCCTGTCAATGATGAGGCGCTCTTTACCGTTGTCCCGCTCGATCTCAATGTACCGCTTGTCTCCGACTGTGATAATCGTCGGGTCGAATCCTAGCTGCTCGTCATTCATCCAGAGAAACCCGAGCATTGTAGACACAAACTGCAAACCATCTTTATTGATGTCAAACTGCTCAGAGGCGATGCCCCCGAGTCGATCGAACTCCCACAGCCGCATGAAAGATCCACAGAGTGTGAAGCCCAGGACGAAGCGACGGCTGTCTTGAGCGGCGAGCACCTCTCTCGCATATCGGCCAAGGTCGAGCCACGCTTTGGATGCTTTGTCGGCTGCCGGATTGCTCTTGAGCTCTCCAGGTATGAGGATTTGCGACCATCGGCACTTCGAGTCCACGCCTGCATTCGGATCGTCCACAAAGCCAATATCCAGCTTGCGATCGGCAGTGGATCCTTGCAGAGGCTGATGCGGCTGTGCTAGTGGTCGTCGCCGAATTCCAGACACCGGCCGATGCCCTTCTGCAAGGTCGAACAGCCGGTCTATAAGCGGAGCAAACCAGCTCAGAACTTCCTTTTCCTTCGCCCCTTCAGGCCAGCCTTGCCAACCACCCTCTACCCGGAAGAGTGGGCTCTCTCCTTCCTTGCACTTGTCAAACACGGCCTGTGCCGCCGGTCTCAGACCTGGCACATCTCCGAAAAACGCCTCGGCGAAGCCGGGTATGCCAACGTACAGGTGTCCCAGCTCCTCCTTCAGCACATCGTCTACGTGTTTGCGGTGCTCGGTCGAGTTCGCGAAGCTGCCCGTGTTGATGGACAGAGGCGTTTGTTGGAAGGACGAGGTAGGGCGGGGTGGAGGCGTCGATTCGGTGACGGTGTCGTAGACTCTGTTCCAGATGACTTCATCAGGGTCGTTTTCGAGGACTGCTCGAAGAAGTGGTTTAATGCGTTCGATGTCAAAGTTGTCAGCTTCCGTCGAGAGTTCAAGTCGCAATAGATCACTGCGAAGTGTCCCTCGGCCTGCGACGGACGGGAGTGATCGGGCAACTGGTAGACCTTGCAATGCTGTGATGAGATGGACGGCTAGGTCTTTCAGTTCTAGTATGGCTTAGACGTGAGAAAAACAGAGGAGGTGTGGGTATTACTTTGGTCGGATACGTTCAAGTCCCTACATAGGGTATTAAACGAGTTGCGGACGCTGCTCAATCCCTCTCCTATGGGTTTAGAGTTGAGTATCTCCAACCGAGACGGAGCCGCCATTGTTTGCAGTTGCTCAAGGAATCGTAATTCGATTGCGCGAACGAGCTTGCATGCGCAGACTTTCGTACGTAGAGATTATGAGTGACCGAGGCAGAAAGTGCATTGTGAGAGGGTACGGCGAGGACGAGGATACAAGCGGCGAAGTACGCGACCAGCGCGCAGGCCAAGGAGGCTGGCTCGGCAAAACGTCGGCGATGGACAACGTGTGTCCGGCCCACGTGATCGCGTGATAATGCTCCAGTCAGTGTCTATTTACCCCGCCTTCGCCGTCGCAAACTCCAGCCGACGTTGCTCAGAACTCGTCGGAGGGCGTTGGGCTGACTAACAAGCCTATCACTGCCTTGTGTTTACTGTGACTGTTGGCGATATGTGACACTCTCAAGTATAATCTTATATCCGTTCTGCTATGTGAATTCGGCTTTGTATCGTCAGGTCTTCTCTATTGACAGCATCTTCGCCTCGTCACTTTAAGCCACCCATTCGCTTTTGCCAAGCGCTCCTATGTCCCTTTGTCTTGGCGCCTCAGGCCAGAATCTGTTCTAGGAACCTGAAAATGAGCCTCGACAGACTCTGCCTATTGATAGCTAACGCTCTTTGGTTAGCGTGTCTTCCGTTCGTTTCAGACTGGCGTCTACCCCTCGTGAAGTGCTCACCTCCGTCCCATCCGACTTCGCGATCCATTCTTCGATTATCCTCCCACCTTATATCCAGCGCTGCACTGTGCGTTAGGCTTCTCTCTTTTCAATGCCTATGGCTTCGCGACCCACTCTTGCCCTCGCAAAGAAAAATAGGCGCCTCTCTAGAAGAAGACCTCCACCGTGAACTCTACGCCGCGCACTGCCACTCGCGACTGCAACACTCAGCCAGCCCACACCAAATAGGAGCGCCCGAAGCAAGAACCTGAAGCGGAGGACGACAAGCAAGAAGGAGTGCGCCCTTCAGCAGAGCCCCAAGAACTCCCTATGCAGCCTCAGCTACTCCAACCATCTCCTACACCTCTAACACTCCTACTTCCGCATCGAGCGGAAGCGTACGAAACCCTTCGAGGCTGAAGCGGAAGCCGACGAACTAAAATACAGGCGCCCATCCAAACAGTCCCGAGGACTCCCTACCTCCAAATAAGCTCTCTGAGGTATCAGTAGAATAAACAGCGACATTTGACGGGATTTGGGCACAAGTAAATCTGCCACGAGGTTGAATGAGCGTTGATCGATCGCTATGTACGACATCAGGCGCGATCAGGAATCATAAAACGATGCGCAAGGAAACATAAGTAGAAGCTCGTGTTGAGACGAACCTAATGCGAATTACTTGATGCGAAGGGGCACCAAAGAAATTCTGCGTAGCCAGGGGTGACTTGGAACGGCTGGTCATCGTTGAGGATGGTTCAGCACGATGTCAGAGGGACCATAACCGCCTCTCATCCTAGCGCGGTTTGGCGGCCTGCGCCCGCGCATGCGCCTCCTGCATCAATCCGCTTGGATCTTGTCTGCTTGTTCTTTTGTCATTCTGTATGTTCGTTAGTACTTCAAGCCGACTTTATGGTGAAAACTACCCATTGTCTAACAATTTTGGCTACGCCGTCGGTTGGGAGCTTCCCGTATTGCGCTCCATGCTGCGCGGTAATTCTAAATCAAAGTTGGTCCCATGATCGTAACATACTTGCTAAAAGTAAGCACTGTCTGTTCTCACCTTGATGTTGGTGCGGTGTTGGAACTGGTCTGAGCTGCCTTGCTTCACGATCATGCGCATACACAGCATTATCGGAGCAGGGGTAGTCCCGGCTCACTTAAATGCCTCGCAGAGGAATAACCGCTAACCAGACACATTGCATATGAGTAATGATACAATAGTTGCACTGTGAGATTGTTTTTATTCTTCTTAAGTGTCTGGCTAGTCTGCATTCTATGCCGGACGGAGAGTTCGTTCGACATCGGGTATATTGCTACAGTTGCCCGACGCTGGAGGGCATGTGGCACTATGCCCCACCTCGTCGCAAACTGGGCCGCTGACGCCCAACACCTTTCAGTTTGCACACTTCACAACACAGTTGACTGCAGCGCTTAATACACAACCAGTACGCGAACCGTGACTCATAGAACTGAAATCAACGCTGACATTCTAGGGAAGACTTCATATCGCGCTGGCCACAAAGCATCGAGTTATCTACATCTACCGAAAAGCAAGCCCGCACGAACGCGAATGGCAGACGAAGCAATATCGGAGGAGTCGTTGGTATGCTGATTGTTAAGCCAATGCGACATGGCTAATAAATGAAGCGCAAACGTTGGAAGAGTCTTACAGTTTCCACAGACTTCTTCGATGGCTGTACGAAACAACCGGCCGAGTACATACTAGCGGAAAGTTATGAGAGGAAAATATATTTCTTAGATTGCGAAAATATCGCTTTTCAAGACAGAAAGGGTCAGGATATTTGGTTGACAACAGGAAATGGAGAGATCGACCTTCCTGCGGAAGTGGGGGTTTACATTGTGAGGGGGAAGTGGAAACCTGGATGATGGCATTGGAAAAAGGAGCTCTCAATACAAAGCTTTGACTATGCGAAAACTCTCAACAAATTCGAGACGCAAATGGATTGTACCAAAATACGGCTCTTCGCATCGTACAACCATCGTTACGCAATCAGTGTAAGTGTGGAGTTGATGGTCTTTCTCCCACGTTCGCAGTCGGCTCTTCTCAATTGCGTTGTATATTTGAGGGGGAAAGAGAGCTTTAATAGCAGCGAAAGACGCCCCCCTCAGCGTGAAACACAGATGTTCATCCTGTAAAGTTTCTGTTCCTGCTTGCGCAAGTGCACGCATCGTGTCGCTGCCAATCTGCCGTCCGTTCAGTTCTGGATCGACAGGAAATGCACTTCCAGGAAACAAGGTCTCCGCGAATTCGCGGGCAGGTCCGATGTCTACCGAAATGACGGCGTCCTGGAAATTATGCTTCGGAAGTTTTGTCTTCACACATTCTGTTACTTGAAGCGTGTGAATCGTCGTACGCTCGCGCAATCGTGTAGGAGCGCACTCGATTGCATCCCTGATACGTTGGCCGAGAGTCGTCCGGATACGGTCGACGGTCGCTGCAAGATATGTCCAATGCTCGTCACTTTCTGCCGTAGTGATAGATCCTGGAGACGGTGGAAGTACTCGATCACTGCCAATCTTGGCAGTAGCGTCACTGTGACTGGACCCACTATGCGTCGAATTCAGCTCTGAGTTTGGCAATCTTCCATCATGGACACATGAATTCGAGCCAACGACGCCCCCTACCAACGCCTGATCACCTTCTGGCTCATGCTGTTGAGGGACTATCGTATTCACTTCCCCCACGGATCTGCCTAGTATCAAGTTGTCATGCTCCAAAATGAACGAAGCGGCAGTCTCGCATCCGGACGTAGTTGCTTGCAGTATGATTAGATACATACAGATTCCCTGACCGATTGAACTTACTATCTTTCGACGTCTTTTGTCTTTTCCGAGCTTGTTCGATGCCATCTTGGGCTTGAGGAGTTCGTTGCCTTTGAAAATCGTAGAGCTCTAAAACCTCTTGCATCCACCTACGGAAGCCTTCGCCGAGTTCCTCGAATCCTTCGTAGCAGCTTACGGCCTCTTGAACAGTCGAGAATTTCATGCACCTAACTTCCTTACGAAAGAACCCAAGGACCCATGAGATGGCAGAACCACAGGTTCTTTCAAGGAGGAGATATCTAAGTCCAACATGTACCGCTTGAAGCACCACCTCTACGTGTTGAATGGAGAGATGCCGTGCAAACGACCGCGATGATGCATGGCGCCCTTTCGGCAAATCAAAAGAACGATTCTCTATCATAGACTCGAGCTTCCCTGGATTAAATTGATCGAACTGTAGGGCGAGACTGCGCTCTGCGAGGAATCGTCGGAATTGATCCCGGAGGGTTTTCGTGCGTTTACCCTCAACCATCCAGATGTCCATTAATCTGACATCAACTTCGTTCTCTGGCGGTGTTCCGACGGCATCCTTAGGCGGTTGTGTGAAGAATTTCTGAATGTCTCCATGCTTTTGGTCCAGCTGATTTGATAAACTTTTGCTCGGGTCGACTGTTGTCTTCGGGATCACTTTTTGGAGCCGTTGAATAGCTTGCTGTATGCGCGTTTGACCATTCTCAGCTAGAAGCGTCTGGAGATCGTGCTCGGAAGCGGTGCAAAGAGCATCGATAGCAGCTCGAAGGTTTTCCATGGGAGAAGAAATATACAACTAGCAAGAAGGGGTCGCGTTCGCAAGAGCTCCGTACCCGAAGGTCAGCACTTTTCCGCAACGGGTAAGCGTACTGTGATATATCCTTGATCTTGCATACAGCCAATTAGATCAAGTGTTTTGTTATAGGATAACAGAACTCGTCATCTCATTGGCCAGGCACACGTTCCATGCGATGAGTGTCAGCAGATGCAATGAACGGTATACGCCATGTTGGGCTGATAAACCCACTTCATCACCTCTGTATCTCAATGTAGGATATATTATGCACCTTCAGCAGCGAGGCTGGACACCCCAGTCCACGGTTTCAGTACCTATCCGCTTCTTACAACATCACAATGTACTCTTCCTTACCCTTCTAAAACAGCTAGTCGTCAAGAAAGGCAGCAGATTTGAACTCCACTGCTTCTTTCGCTTGCGTCGGCAAGCCCTTGGGAGTCTAGAGAGCCTGTCACTATGGGTTAGACCCCGCTCTCATCGACTGCCTCCGGAGACGACCATTCTGGTGACCAAACCGATCGATCGAGTTACGACCTACGAATAATACTGAACAAATATAGCATCTGTACGCGACGGATGTTGTGAGGAAGTGAGCGTCGGTTTCTTAGCTCGCAAGTTGAGATTTCCGATTCGATCTGTATCTGTGTATCGTGTTGATTCGGCTTCGATTGAATCATTGTTGTTTCCTCGCCTTTTGAGATGTTTCTTCCTTCCCATATTTGTTTCACCGGTTGTCCTCACCGATTGGCCTCCTGCTGCTTCTCGAATCTTTCGCATCGCTCGTTCTAAAGCTACTCTTCAAGTTTCACAAAGTAAACGTTGTCTGTCATGGCTTGGACACGTTCTTCTAACACTAGACTCAGAGCAAGATGCCCATGATTCTAGGCACGACAACTTCACGGAGCAGCGAGCTCAACCTTAGGGGCTACCATTGTCGCCTTGTCACTACGATATGCATATGTCGACAACTCTGCGATCGCCATCAAAAAGACCTTATTTTTACGTACAGACAAGGTTTTGGGGATAGTACTGTGTCATCCTTAAGATAGGTTAATCGCAGCAGAATAGGGCACCGCCCTTACACATTTCCGAAGAATCTGACGCCTCTCTGACGCGTTGAGCTGGGGAGGATCTATGTACAATTTTCTTCGTATCGTATTCCTTGTACCTACAATCACCCCAACGTAGGATAGCTTTTGTGATGCAGAAGGTTTTCTCAACTACACGCAACCGGTTGAAATATTATTTCTGGAGGGTGCTGTAAATTGCGAACGTCACCTCTCCGCATGTGCTGATTGTTCATCACCATTCCAAACCCGCGGTACCGCCCTACGTGACTTTGATCGGCGAAGTGTCTGAAAACTCTAAGCCCTTCAAATGCGGGCCACGCAAGCTGTGATGAGGCCCACTATCACCAAGTCTGTTATGCTAATCTCGGGACGCCGTCAGTCGACGAAGAGTCCCGTAATGTGATCGACTTGTACACAGATAGGATCGCTCTGGCTTAGATTGATGGCGTTCAACGCTCAGCCAGGCCACCGGATATGTGCCGCGCGGATTGCTTTGTACCTACGTTCGCGTCCATGCCGTTCGTCGGCAATTGCCCTGAACCGAGCCGCCTCTAAGACAGCAGTGGCTTTTCTATGTCTGACTCGAGTCCAAAAGGATGGCTTGAAATACTCATATATCATGAACCCTTCCTGTGAGGCTGAGACGTCCTGCATCCATCGTCTCACCGCTCTTGCGTCATTCACCGATTGCCTTCCTGCACGAAGGACCTGTACCCTCTGTTGGCCTCGAAACCAAGATGGCTCAAACTCGCAAATCTGCATGCACGACGGAGGTAAATGAGCCTATACCTGCTTCGTTTAGATCTAACCATCATAGGAACGGAGAGTGGTCGCCATCGAACGGAAACAAAGAAAGGGACCTTGCATATTTTTCCAGGCGATGATTGTGGATAGCAATGGTCCGGACACGAAGCTGGAGCACATGCTCACGTTCAGCGAGGAAGAATTTAGATCCTTGAAAGGTTCCCAGGCTGCCCTGGAAGCCTTTCATGGGGGAAACAAGACAGAGGATGAGGATGATGATGGATGTTGCATCTGTATTGGGTGGTTTCCATCATACATCGGATATTGGTTCACGCGTTTCCTACCTAAAGGGCGCAGTCTTGCCTTTGCATGCGCTGGCGCTGCTCCGCCTGCAACCATTCCCCCGGCCACAATCAACACCAACACGGAACTACTCGTCCTCGAGAATAACGTAGCTCCCTACCCACCTCGTACGTTGCTCCTACTCATATCAACCATGCGAGCATGGTCGTAATGATCTTGACTGTAGCTATCTAGCATAGAAAGCTGACTTAGCACAGGAAATCATGTACACAGAAGACCAGCAAGCGACACTACCGCCGATCTGAACTCGTCTACGGGTCCACCACGAAGCACAACAGCGTTTGCCCTTCCCAGCCCTACTTCCGAGACGCCACTTGTGCGAGCCGCTCTATCAAATGATTCCTCTCCACGCAAAGTTGCTTCGGGCTTAATCGTGCCTGCTAGGGAGTGTAGGACGTGCAGAAAGGAATTCCACCATCAACACCTCTTTGATTTCCACCAGGAGAAATGTACAGGGCAAAAACCAAGTTCAAGCTATATCGTCAGTGTCTCATCGTCTGCGGCATCGCACGCCTCTTCCGAGAAATTCATGCAGGAGCATCAGGATCAGTTCCCTCGAAGTCCAACTCCTGACGGTCCACAACAGCCAAGGAAAGTGGCAGATACCTCTCTGTTTGCCAAAGTCCTCGACGTACTCTGGATTGAGCATGTGGAGGCAACTCCGCAAGGTGTTTACGGGATAAGGGTTCTCGTACGCACTTTGTGCGATACAGTTCAGCTTATGTCAATAGTAAGCTTCCTTACGCTTCTTGAAGAAAAGGAACAGGTAGAAAGTATTATGGGTGCTCATGGTTTCGGCTTCGCATTATACATGCATGATACGGGCCATTCCATACCACCGCGTACAATTTGGACCAGCCATCTCCAACTTGAAGATGTTGTACCTGAGGAAGTTGACCGCCGTTTGCTGGAGTCAGGCGAATATTGTTCGGCCACCTCTCTGTCTACCTTTGGCTCTACATGAGAAGAGCGATTAATTCATTTGAACCATTCTTATCGGTAGCCATGTAATACAACTCTTTTCTTCTTAGCATGATTATGATTATGTTTACGAATATCTGGCTACGTCAGAAGTAATTTTGCACATCGACATGCATCGGTCGTTTCTCGTGCAGCCATGTATACAGTATTAAATCTTTGACATACCTAGCCAGCCGGGGCGGCCTTAGATAGGGAGGCTCACTGGTTGCCTTCCTGCAGGTACTTGCTGAACTATCATTAAAAGTTCTACCTTGGTGCCAATTAGGTTACGAAGAGTACTGGACGACTTCCTGTAATCGGCTGCGGTCTATGCTACGTAGAGGATCCATAATATGCCCGAACGTGGCGAACTATGTGAGCAGTTTGTTACATGGATAATCCATAAAAAAGGCCGCCTTATCGCGATGATCATTCCGGATGCTAATCTCTCCCATTGTTCTATACACTAGCGGTGACTGAATGCACAGAGCCTGAGTATGCATCACAATAACTATAAAACGTCTCAGTTTCCCTTCATCTTTCTGATTTTATCCGCTTCACGATGAGTCCTCCTCCTGAATATGAATCATTAATGGAAACCAGAAGAAATGGCAACCATTATCGTCTCTACAAGCTCAAGACTATGCCAGAAGAATATGACGCGAGCGCTGTAACTTATTTAATAAGTACTATCGATTCGTTCCTCCGAGAAATATCCACGAATTCCACTGTCTTCTCCAGGGCAACTGTTTCCGATACATTATTCAGCGTCGATCAGTATGTTTGCGTCCAGATTGTTGCGCCTCAGGGTACCGTTCCAAAGGAGAAGTGCATGTACTGGGCTGAGGGAAGCAACCTCGTCACTGGAACGATGATTCTGAGTAGGAATGAAAAGCTTCCACACGACAAAGCCAACACATATGGAAGTTTCAAGGATGATATACGTAGTACGTGTCTCAGGACTTCCTTCTGGAACTAAATTATTAACTCGCGTCCAGAACTCGTCGAGGCGATGCCAAGTGAGTTTTGGTCTGGTATGATGTTCAGTTAGAGGTATCGGGCGGTCTCAGATATGGTGAGGATGGTTTAGTCTACTGTGTTGGTAGTTTATCAGGACTGTTGCAAGGTGCATGTGGAGGTTGACCCGTGCCAAGTCATTTGATAATAGCCACATGCCACGGGCGCTTTGTATGCTGGCATTTAGTAGAGGGGTAATAGCTCTTATCAAGCGGATAGGGACGTTGTACGTGCGGTGCTGCGCAGAGAAGCATACCTAGACTGTCCTTTCTGTCTGACGTAACCTTCATCCAGTATCCCAAAAGTTATTCTTAAGCAGCCATAGAGCCATGTGTCTACAAAACTCATATGCAAAAGTTAACCCCAATTACCCTTGACCTTACCCGTCAGCTCTTTCAACCGATCGGAATGGGAAAGACCCAGGGTGATGGATGTTTAGAGACGCTTGGCCCTTATTCAGCCTTCAAACATTCTGTGAATCAAATTCCCCGTGAGAAAGGGATGCCTTGCGCTTGCTGTAGCAGAGCTCGACCAAAGCGATTATATATGTGTGAGAAATGCGGCAAGACATGGTGCGATGAGTGTTGGGCGAAGACCGTTGAGCAGGTAAGACTAATTACAATCGTATCTCATCTGGATCGAAGCTAATATATATGCTAGTGCCGAGAAGAAGGCATGTCCACTGTGAAGCGCCGGAGAACCTGGGCTCAAGATGAGGAGTAGCTGCCAATCCAAATGGAGCGCGACCTCAGAAAGCAATTGCGGTGGCTCCATTACATTTGATACGAGCGCTTTTCACGCTAGGAGGTGGAGAGATTCGAGAGGGCGTCCGTGACAGAGTCAAGGACCTTTAAAGAGACGAACGTCGCTGGAAGAATCCAAATGACTATCCCTTACGAGGAAATTAATGATGGCTTATTACAAGTCCAAGAAATGTCAAGCTTCACATTACACCAGCCGCAGTCCCCAACGATTTGGCTGTATGAGGTCTGGCGTCGTGGACGGCGTGGATGGAGGTAGGAAAGTCTGCGATCTTGATTCTAGGTGGCTCAACGCGCAACGAGTGATCTCAGCTGCAAGTGACTTAGGTAACCTGCTTACATTGAAGATGAAGCCACTAGAACGCTACTCGCCGATTATTCTGTGCAGTTCAGCGTGCAAGGTATGAATATAATGCCATTGAAGCAACCGATGTTGAGGTGGCCTAACGTTTCCGTGCGCTGCAGACTAGCTTTGGTGCGGTTATATGTGACCAGCTAGAGGAGTTAGGAAGTGCGTTTGACAAGGCTGAGCGAATTCAGAACTTTGGAAAGGGAGCGTATGTCCGAAGAAGGACGAGAGAGGATAATTATGGTAACGACCACGGCGAACAATATACGGAACGAGAAGGAAGGTACGCATGAGCTAGCGGTGAAAGTTGTCATACTTGTCAGCTTTGAGTGCTGAAATGATGTGGAATGCTGGCTACATTGAATAGGCGGCATTTCTATACTTCGTTATTTTATGAGCAGGTATAAATAAGGCGTACCAAGATCGCTAACGACTGTGTATACAGTCGGCCCGCTAATGCTAAATCTTTCGAGAGTGTTCGAGTATCGTTAAGGTGCATTGCACCTCGTTAGGCAGCCTCTGCCAGTTGCTGCTCAAATTGCTTGGCCAAAGTTAGCGTGGTCAATAGCGAGAACCTAATCAACTTGCCTTCTTCACATCAAGAAACCTAGCAATAGCCTTTTCTCCGCCAAGCTCGTCAGAACTACCGAGACTTTGCTGCTCTGAGACAAGCTGTGCGACTGCTTCAACGTAAGCTGACGCCGATGGTAGCAGGTCTTCATTGGTGGAATCAGGGAATCTCAGCTGGTTGAGCACAATCTCAATCCATGAGTCTATGCGTGACCACCGCAAGACGTGACCGCCCACTAGCAATGTCTGATACTGCTCTAGCCTGAACACGAAGTGGACCGTGCCCGCCTCAAAGTAGATCGTCTGGCCAGGACGCAGAACCACGTATCTTAGCTGTCCTCCAGTGAACCCGTTTGGATCAGCGCTCCAGCTGCGAGTCTCTTCTTTTGATGGATGTGACATCCAGCCGAACCCGAGCTGCCCTTCTTGTACTGTCAGCCACGTGGCCTTTCCACAGCTGTCCTGATGAGTCAATGTACAGGCACCACCTTGGGCAAGCAGCACCCAGTCCTCATCATCTTTCCACTTGTTCCATTCAGCAATTGGTGCAGTACATCTTTCTGCAGAGGCTCCTTCAAGAAGCACATCGCGGACGCGACTGAGCAACTGGCAGTCCTCGCCGGTGAGGAAGGAGGGCAATACAGAACGTGGGAGCGGGTTCCGTAGATCAAGCACGTTGAGAGGATCGTCGCTCGTTACGTTCTCTGCAAACACCGCCTGAACGTCGCCAAGCCGCATCGATTCGAACGACGGTTGCTGCAAGCTCAGCGACGGCTTCTGAACTGATACGCTCCGAGTAGGATTCCCCATCCTTCGGAAGAGTTGCTCGATGGGCCGGCCTTTCCGGTGATCCCACCTGAATTGCTGCTGATTCTCAGTGATCATCGGCCCATGAAGAGCGATATGTGATTCAAGTCGACTCTTTGCTTCTTCACCAGTCATGTAGTACACCTCTTCGCTCTCATCTGCAATCGTTGTTGGCTGACTGGCTCGGCTTAGAAGAGAATACATAACCTGGATGTTTAGCTCTCCCCAGGTTTTTGGGGATTTGTTTGGCATCAGCTTCCTTTCTAGTTGTGCCATTACCTGTTGTCGGAAACGAGCGTCGCCTTTAGCATCGTACACTGGGCGCCGGTCCCTGTTCTCTTCTGCAACAGGAAAAAAGAAGATTCCTGGGTTTTGCACAGCGTCTTCGGAGAGTCGATCAAACCCAGAGCCTGCTTCAGGCAGCGATAGACGACGCCGTTTGGCGGCAACGAACGGCAGCGGATCGAGTAGATTGGATGTTGGACGTTTTGGGGTTTGCATGGACACAGTATCCTCGGACTTCTGATGGCATAGCATACATGTTGTTGCCCACTTAGCGTACATCTTAAGGTGCTTCAGACAGAGTAACTCTTGCTGGGCCTCGTACTTCATGAGCATCTCCAGGTCTTCTGTAGTGTTAGTCTTCTGTTTACGCTCCATGACAGAGAGGAAGTTGGGGGCTACTTTGTCAGAACAGGAGCAACTAGTCGTCGGCTCAGGCCCAGACCAAGAGGATTCTGTGGTCGTCTTCGGTCGAGCTGATTGGCATCGTGTACTTGACCTAGTACTGCCCATCCACAAAGCTGTCGGCGTGTAGGATAGCTTAGGGCAGGAACGAAGCCTATTCGAAGTCCGCGACGAAGCTCTGACTGCATCGGGCTCGACTCTGGCATTGTTTTTTGCGGATGCCTGGAATGGATATGATAACACTGTAGGAACGCAGGATGAGGCAAAGGTATCGGAGGTTGGTGAGTGTGCTGGTGTGCTTCCTAGCGACGAAAGTGGGGAACTAAAGGAGCTATGAGCAGATTTTTGAGTCTCAGAAGATGTAGGCGAGGGTGAGGACAATGAGGTATCGATGACGACACTCAGAGGGGAGGTTACGATTGCAGCAGAAGCTGCACATCCTTTTGCGCTCTGAGCATTGGCGTGTGCAGCTGGCTGGAGTTGACCTGCGACTTCTGCCAGCACGATCAGTCCATACTGATCGAATGCATATCCAGCGGGCAAGGCAGAGTTGGTGAATGGGTGGTATTTGAGGATGCATGTCTTTCGACCCTTCTTCTCATAGTCGTTCTTCTCAGACCAGGTCTTGAGGTGCTCCAAGTCGATCAAGTTGATAGGATTTGGGGACTCTCTAAGGGACCGTCCTTCGGCGATCCGGCTCAACAACAACTGATTCAACTTAACTGAAGCCTCTTTCCAATCAGGGATCCGAGAAGCAGCGGTGCCTAGCACCTTGCAGAATTTCAAGCCCATTGACGCCCATTGGTAGTGTCGAACCTTTTCAATGCCCCAGTACCCGCTCGTCTTGGTGAGAGGAGCAAGACACTGCTCTTTCATCTTGATTCCAGACTTGGCTATATCAATGAAACGCCCCCACTGTTTCACTTCGGCTTCGGCTTGAGTGTCGGCATCGACATCAAGTTTCCTCGACCAAACGCGCCTTTTCTCCCTGTAATGCGGACATTCATCCACCATTACCCCTTCCGCACATGCAAAAAGCCACTCCAACGCTGTTTGTTGCTCGAGGAGCTCATCTCGCATAGCTACGCATGCCTTCAGTTTGTCGGCGTCATCCTCGATCGCTTTCAGGGAGGCTCGGAAGGCTTGGATGTGCGCGGGGACTGGGTCGATATCGAGTATATCGCTACTGCAGGGGTTAGCTTTAGCATACAGCAAGTGACGTCTTTACCTCTGAGTTAAGGGCTCCATGGTGCTGAGACGGTGTTGTCGCGAATGTGTTTGTCGTAGAGCGAGCTTAACGTTGACAAGGGTGACAGCTCATCATATGACTAAGCCACATAAGCGAACAGGTCCAAATTGGACCAGTTTCTCATTGGCCACAAGCACCTCTAATGATTTCTCTTTCAAGTGGAGAGTGCAACCGCCCCTTGAACTGTAACTTATATAGCTTTCGATCGACAGGCCTCGTCTTTCTCCTGCCCTCTTTTTGAGGTTGTTTGGAGGGCATGGACAGGGAACGCTCCGTGATGCAGGGCCTCGTGCGCAATGCCTTTTCTACAGAAAATTAGGTGGCGGCGTGGCTATCGTGCCATGCGCGTGCGCTTTTACCTCCACGAACTAATCCACAGGCAAAGGAGCTGAAATCCTGAATTAGTGCTTAATTGAGGATCCTGAGAGGCTTGAAAGCAGGAGCCAGAAACCGGACCTCTACCCCAAGTTCTGGAAGGGAGCCGAAAACGGACCCTAGGCTGCAGAGCGCCAATGGTGGCGTGCAAAGGAACCTGGGAACAGGAGCAAAGCACTCGACAACGGGGATCGCAAACCTGGATCCATTTTGCGTACGTACTGTAGCATCTGGATTCCAATTTTGGTCCACACAGACTAGCTTATATGAATTGGCTAGCCAGGTCTCTCACTAAGTAGCATAATCATGACCTCTCAGCAGCAATTATAGCTACTAGCAAGCGCAAAGGCAAGGCGAGCTGCAAACAACAACTACCAGAAGCTATCTAAAACCCTCTACGAAAAATTGACGAAGCTGTGCCGAGAATACGACACAGATATCTATCCCCTAGCCCATCGTAATGGCCGCTTCAACGGATTCGTGTCTAGAGATAAAACAGATCAGCCCTGGCTGCCGCCAGGTCAAAACACTCTTGTAAGCTCCTCCTTCTTTGCAGCTATCAAGGACTAAGTCTTTTCAAGGACAGATTGAATCCCACGCCGGTGATAAAGTCGCCGTCATATTCCCATCGAGCTCGACGTGGACAAGCTCAGGTTACCACTCAAGAAGCGGGTTTACACGCCTTGTGACCTCAGCACATCGGCAAATGTGGATTGTATCGTAGACAAAGCTACATCTGGCGACTTATCCCCATCAAGGTAGCAGTGGGGCATAGTGAGGGTATAAAATCGGCATTCAGCAGTCTAGCAAGCAACGGAATAACAACGATCTCATTGACTATTCCTCTCAATCTGTGTTAACGTCCATCCCTGCGTGACGGGACGTCACATACACGCCCCAGCACAACAAACTCAACATCGGGTTAGAAGAACAGATGTTCTCGGGATAGTAGCCTTGAGTTACAAAGTTAATTCTCTTCTAACGTCTTTTAAAAATAGGTTCTGCTTACCGTGTAATAAGACAGTTTAGAATAAGCGTTCCGCGACCGCCTCGCTTTAGCTAGCGGTAGGTGCGTTAAACATATATATCTTATTCAAAGTAAGTCAGCTTACAGCTTGTTATACTATTTTGCTATCCCGAGCACTGCGCTTGAGCTCGAGAGGTTGTTGTGCGTCTGTGCTAAATGCAAGACCGCCTGCTAGAAGTGCTAGACAAGGACCCGCACACCTAGCTTAAAGCAGCTTAGCTGTAGTCAATCGCTGCTGACACTAGATCTCTAGCTGTGTGGCTGTGTGGCTGTACGGCGCTTTTGCCAAGCGCTCTAGGACACCCGAAAACCGGCTCGGAATAGGAGCAGAGCTAGGATTAAAGGCCCCCGGCGTTTAGCTCGTGTCAACAAACACACCCAGCATCGAAACCGCAATCATCTTCCGATACAGCTATCGTGCAACTTCAGATGCAGTGTAATGCACGTTTATAGCTAATACGAAAGCTTGCATGTTATAGAGACAAACCGTCGCGCCACCCTCTAGCTCCGCAGACCCGCCGTTAATCTCTCGTCCGACCTATTACGCCCTCGTCCTTCTTGAGTACATCGCAACCGATACACATACGCATAATATAGAATGCCAAGATCTAAGTCTAGGCTTCGGCAAGTGGGGTAAGTGTTACTAGGAGAACGTCGTCGTTGCAAGCAGGTACAAAGGTAGAAGAGTTTGCATATCTTAGGAATACAGCCATCGCACAGTTATACAACGAAAGGCTCGTTGCATAAGCACTGCAATTATTAGAGGCGTGGTAAGGTGCTTTGGTTTGATATTTAAGGGTGACGAGGAGTCTGGATGTTAATGCTTGTAAGCGCTGGTGAGGGTAGAGCAGAGATCCGACGGTAGCTATGCTTCGTAAGGTACTACGCTATCTAAGGCTGCATGCCGTCCTATCATCGACCTCGTCTTCTCCTTCCCCCATATTCTTCACATCCATCTTCGCTTGCTTATCCAGGACCTCCGCCAGATAACTTTGAGCATTCCAAGCTGGCACCGCCCACGTCTTTACACCCTTGACTTTTTCCTCCGCCTCCCTAGCGTCCTTACTACACGCCCTCGCCGCGCTCAACCAGTCACTCCACGCAGGCGTATCCGGACAAGCGTCGCTTCTCCCTACCCAATCTGTATTCTTGATGACCACAATCGCCTTCCAGAGCGCTTGTGTGAATGTACTGTTCTCACTCGGATATCCTTTCTTCGTCATGTTCGAGTCAGAGAGACACTCACTAGATACAGTGTAGCAGGATGTGTCCCAGTGCACTTTCCCAGGCAGCGCAGCAAGGATCCAGTAGCTGGAGCCGATAAGCATATATGAGCCTGCCCAGGCAATTTGCAATTCGATTTGTGCATTTGCGAGGGCGATTACACCGCTCATTAGCAGCATTGTGCCGACTAGGGAGAGGATGCGGTACGCAGCGTCGTGTTGCACGAGGTACTCGATCGTTTCGGGCGCGAAGTACAACTCCCGAGCAACGATTTCGTCGCAGCGGACTATGAGGAAACTACCTTTGGGGTACCGAACCACAACGTCTCCACGAGGAATTTCTCCTTGCTTGATCATGCGCTTGGGAAGTCGTAGCGTCCATTTGTTGGCGAGCCCTATGAGAGACGAGAGGCACGAGAGGAAAATCGTGGCTAAGATTGACATGCCGTCTTCACGCCATATCGATAGCCCAAGGAGAAGGATTGACAAACTGGAACCGAGGAAAAGGACGATAGATAGTGGAGCCAAGGTCTTTAATCTGATGGGTTGATTGCTGGTGCGCTTGATCTCGACAGCGCGGACGGAGTGCGGAAGTAGGTCGTTTGCATCACTAGCGAGTTATTAGTACGTATGTCATGTGATAATAAACCTAGGGAAGCGTCTCGCATCAAGCTCGACGGAACTATAGCAACTTGACGTACCAGACAATATTTCCGATATAATTGACATTATTTCTGTGATTACCTGAGAAGATGCCAGTAACGAATCCAGGAACAGGCGCAAGCAATGTGGGTCTGGCCGGTCTCATGAAAGCGTGCGGCGCTGGAAACAAACACGGGAGAAATATCCATGTCGTCAGAGTCAACACCTGCGCGTTGGCGAGCACTGAGCCTTCTCCTAAAATGGCTACGAAACCGATGACACCGAGTCGTAGTGCGTTCAAAGTGATTCTACCATCACCCTCTGGCTGGAGCCAATGCATATTGCCGGAGGATCAAAAGTGGAAAGAATTCGAATCGGTAAATATTGTCAAAATAGACTCAAAGCCGAGAAGGAACGCTGTATGTTGAATCTGCAACAAGGCTGCGAGGGTGTTTAATGAGAAGATTGCTAACATGGGATAAGATTCCCTCTGTAGCATCAAAGGATTAACGCTGGTGCAGCTCATTAGACGCAATCAATTGAGAGGCAGATAGCTATGAGATGAGCGACTGATCAGCCTACAGGATGTGGGCGCATCGGGAGGCGAAGCATTAGCCTTGATCGCAAGAGATGAGAAATCAGCCCAGGCTAACTTCCAACCTTGCTGCGGATCGGCTCTTCGCAAAAGTGGATCCCCTACAGTAGCACGAATTGCTGCGCCACTACAATGTGGAATCTCATTTACTACAATGCGCCTGCGCCGGCATTGCTGTTTTTACATAACGGCAAGTTGCAACGTGAGATTATCACGAATTCTTCGAACAGAAAAGGATGCCTTTAAAGTCTTCGCACTATGAACCAGCGATTTACTACCAAAAACTTCCGAGAAATTTGTTTTGGCATGCTTGATATGTGCACGAAATCGATATGTCACTGCCAAGTCTTTTCACGCTCGAAGCCACGACGACCGATCTCACTATTGGCTGCGCAGACAGTGCACGGATCTTCTGCTTGCCCCAACTTAAAAATGGACACAGCCCTCGTTCCAGCTCACTCCCCCGACTTTTTCCTGCATCTTCGCTATCTGCTCGTTGTACCCTACACCAACTGCATCAAGCATTTCGTTTTGTGCTTCCTCTTCACGGACCATGGCCTGCGACTCTACATGTTGCGCGCCGCCCAAAGCCCTTCCTGCCGTCGTGCGCACACCAAACCCGGCTCTACCCAACATCGATATAGGCGACTCTGCTGTTCCTTGTGGCCAAGACACATCCTCCCAGTCCCAGCCGAATGACATGGCGAACGACTGCCATGATAGCTCAGCCAAGTGCACCCCAAAAAAGAACGGCTGTTACTCTTCCAAGTCTGTCGACGTCGAAGCCTACGACCTGAAGCGCCCCAGCTGCTGCGAAGGGAAACTGTCCCCATGCTGTGACTCCTCCTGCATCGACCGACTTGCTCTCCGCGAGTGTGCTACTGAGAGTGAGTCTCCATCGCCTCGTCCTCCGCAATCCGCCACTAACCCCTGCATACTGTAGATGACAAGATAGGCGATGCACCCTCAGATTGCACCCGTGGAAATAGCAGAACGCCGTGTGGACAACATGTCCGTAGTGCCTGGGATAAATATCAGTTCACACTGGAAGCGATAGGCTGCATTTGCTCTGCGCTGCTCGCTCTAGGCCAGGAGTCCTGCTGTGTGCCGCCACGGCGATCCTCCTTAAAGAGGACCCCGTCCAGCCCTCGTGCTTCCGTAAGCTCTCGCATGTCTGCCAACCCTTGCTGTACACCTAAGACAAGCGCATGGGAAGCTACCGCAAAGCCGCGGCCCGGCTCTAGCGAAGGACCTTCGACTGCCAAGGGTGCTCCCTGCGCCGATACTTGTTGCGATGAGAAAATTTCGGAAGAAAACCCTGCCTCATCATGCACCGACGCCTGTTGCGATGACAAAGTGCCTTCCACAGTATGCGCCTGCGCCTGCTGCAGTCAGAAGAAGGGAGTAACGCAGAAGACAAGGGGAATTGAAGTCGACGCGGCGCGTGCTGTCAATCTTGAGATGGGCCTTTCCGGGAAAGAGCATGTGATCCTCAGCATTTCGGGCATGACTTGCACCGGGTGCGAAACCAAATTATCCCGCACACTAGCAACACTTCCCGCAATCACGAAACTAAAGACTAGCCTGATTCTTTCGCGAGCGGAATTTGACCTCGATGTCGGCACTACCTCTGCCGTTGAGGTCATGAAACACCTTGAGAGGACGACCGAGTTCAAGTGCGAGCGCATCACGAATCAAGGCTCCAGCCTCGATCTTATTTGCCACGGCGATCCAACCGATGCTGTCAAGAGCGACTGGCCAGATGGCGTTACCGAAGTGAAGATGGTGGACCAAAAGACTATCCGGGTCGACTTCGACGCAAAGATTGTGGGTGCGCGAGATCTTGTTGAACACGGCTGGCCTGCACCTATGTCGCTCGCTCCTCCCCGCGCTGATCCAACCCTAGAGGCTGGCGCAAGACATGTTCGACATGTCGGCTATATGACTCTTTTGTCCATTGTGCTGACTATCCCCGTGTTGGTTCTTTCATGGGCTCCACTTCCGGATAAAAAAAGGAAAGAGATCACGTTTGGCTCCATATCTCTTGCTTTTGCCACCATCATCCAATTTGTGGTTGCCGGGCCTTTCTACCCAAAAGCCCTCAAGGCCTTGGTTTTTTCGAGAGTAATCGAGATGGATTTACTTATAGTTTTGAGCACGAGCGCGGCCTACATATTCTCCATCGTGGCATTCGGCTATCTTGTTGCTCACAAACCACTGTCAACCGGCGAGTTTTTTGAAACCAGCACGTTGCTCGTCACCCTCATCATGGTCGGCCGGTATGTTGCTGGATTAGCACGCCAGAAAGCTATTGAATCAATCTCGATCCGCTCGCTGCAGAGCTCGACGGCTACCATTGTGGACCAGGGTGTGGAAAAGGAGATTGACGCGAGGCTGCTCCAGTATGGCGATGTCTTCCGAGTTTCTCCTGATTCGAAAATACCAACTGATGGAACCGTCATTTCAGGGTCGTCCGAGATCGATGAATCCATGCTCACTGGTGAATCCCGGCCTATTGAGAAGTTTGAGGGCTCTCCCGTCATTGCAGGATCGATTAATGGATCTGGCGTTCTAACTGTTCGACTCACCCGGATTCCTGGTGACAATACCATTAGTACGATTGCTGGAATGGTAGACGAAGCAAAGTTGTCCAAGCCTAAATTTCAGGAGATTGCCGACCGGGTAGCAACTTACTTTGTACCTGTGGTCATCTCTATCACCATCGTTGTCCTCTGTATCTGGGTTGCTATTGGCATCGCCGTTCAGAGCAAGTCTGGATCCGAGGCCACCATTCAGGCTATTACATATGCCATTACCGTACTGATTGTGTCTTGCCCCTGCGCCATTGGTCTTGCTGTCCCAATGGTAATTGTCGTCGCAACCGGAGTCGCCGCAGAGAGAGGCGTTATCTTTAAATCTGCCGATGCCATCGAGGTCGCATACAAGACTACCCATGTTGTTTTTGACAAGACTGGGACTTTGACTCAAGGCAAGCTCACCATCGCTCGAGAGGAGTACCCCAGCGCTTCTCCCAACACGAAGGCTCTGCTCTTGGGCCTTATTGGAGGCAGTAAGCATCCGGTGTCCATTGCCGTGGCAACTCACCTTAAAATGGATGGTGTCATAGCCACCACAGTGTCCGACCCTAAGAGTGTAGTTGGCAGAGGTGTTGAGGGCACTTTCGCAGGTCGCACTCTCTGTGCAGGTAATTCCAGATGGCTCAACCTCTCGAACGACCCTCTTGTTCAGTCTGTTCTTTCCCAGGGCTATACAGCCTTTTGCTTCACAGTGGACGGTTCCCTTGCTGCCGTGTTTGGCCTTGAGGATTCTCTACGAGAGGACACTCTTTCTACCATCACCAAGCTGCAGCAAAACGGCATCTCTGTTCACGTCCTCTCTGGTGACGATGACGGTGCCGTTCGAGCGGTCGCATCTCAACTCAATATCCCTGATTCCAACATTCGATCTCGCTGTGCTCCGGCAGACAAGCAAACTTATATCAAGAACCTCCTCGCTACCTCTGACCCCCGCAGTTCGGGAAAGAAAGCTAATGAGCCCGTCGTTATGTTCTGCGGCGATGGGACTAATGACGCTATTGCTCTTGCGCAGGCCACCATCGGCGTGCACATGAACGAAGGCACCGACGTTGCCCAATCTGCCGCAGATGTAGTCCTCATGCGTCCAAGCTTGTCCGGCATTCTCATCGCCATCACCGTTAGTCGGAAATCGATTCACCGGATCGCTTTCAACTTTGGTTGGAGCTTTGTGTACAACGTGTTTGCTATCCTACTCGCTGCCGGCGCGTTTGTGCATGCGCGTATTCCACCAGAGTTTGCAGGGCTAGGTGAGTTGGTTAGTGTCTTGCCGGTTGTTGCGGCAGGTATACTACTGAGGTGGGCTAAGATTTAGAGTAAGAGATGAGTAAGTTGGCGTTCCGGGAGGGGAGAAGCTAACATGCAATTATTGCCAACCTTAAACTGCTGCATTATACCGCTGTTACAGAGAGGTCGGTGCTCAAATCCTTATTCAGTTCCCATTCTTCTACCGTTTCTCTTTGTATCCCCTGTACTTTCTCTAGTTCCATGCTGTAAGTACATATACAATGAGATAATCATGCTCGAGGGCACGCATATTAGCCTTGAAAGATATCGTAGTTGAGAAGATTGTTGAGGGTGACGAAGAGCACTCTTCCCTAGATCACGTAAGAGACAACTCTTTTGTTCGTGAAAGAATCTAACGTGAAACATGTACATATTGTGCGATTCTTTGTAGTAGTTGTGAAATTCTTTAACTGTACCTCGGGGAATTTCATAAACGTTCTAACTAGAAGACAGAGCTATAATCTAGGTGACTCGCCACTATTAGCGGGAGAGTGGTCAACCCGCTCTGACTACACTCTTTGCTATAAACGTCGGCACTGGATGGCACTGTGAAGGGATGATAGGACGGCATGCAGCCTTAGATAGCGTAGTACCTTACGAAGCATAGCGAGTATTAGATTACTGCTCTACCCTTACTAAGCGCTCATAAGCGTCAACGATCTAAACTTGTTAACCTTAAAGATTAGACTAAAGCACCTTTCTACAGCCCTAACGATTGCAGTGCTTATGCAAGAAGCTATTTACTATATAACCGTACGACAGCTGTATCTCTAAGGTGCGCAGACTCTTTCCCTCTTTAAGTATGCGTGTAACGACAGCGTTCTTCTAGTAACACACACTCTACGTGCTAAGGCCTACACTTAGATCTTAGTATTATGTATTATGCGTACATGTATTAGTTGCGGTGTGCTTAAGAAGAACGAGAGGGTAGTAAGTTAGATAAGAGATCTACGGCGGGTCTGCGGAGCTGTAGAGCAGCGCGACAGTCTATCTCTACAGGATAGAAGCTTTCGCATTAGCTATCGTTCTGCGTTGCACTATGTCTCAAAGTTGCACAATAGCTGTATTAGAGGCTAATTGCGTTTTATTGCTAGGTGTATTCGTTAACATAAGCTAGTTTTTAGGTGTCCTAGAGCGCTGTTACACGGGGTTAGGCTATACTTCTCTAGGCTCGGTCCGTACTAAGGCGAGGTAGACTAAAGCGGTAGTCCGTGAGGTTTGTCTGGCGATTCTGTGGAAAAGAGTTATCGTGGAATAACTGCAGGTAAAGACAATCCAATTCTATAAACGATAGAATAACTAGTTAACAATCTGTGTAAGAGATGAACTATTTGAGTTGACCACAATGAGTGTAATAATGAAATCCAACACATTCTTATACCCATTGCCTTAGGTCCTGTCCTCCCTGGCCTCCCATCCTAGAGGGAGGTTTGGGAGGACCGTGGCTTCCCTAGCCCCACTGGCCTCCCGGAGGCCTGGTCTTGGCGGGATGCCAATCCTGATCACGTGACCCCGAGCCCCGCGATCATCGTTGCGTTCTGACTTGGTCGTGGTTGGCCTTCAACCCCTTCACCCCATGTCAAGGAGAGAATCCTTTGTGTTACCTGTAACATTATCCCCCCTCTTAGGCGTATCGTCCCGATACCCTGGATTATTATTTTGCCGTGCCGATCGTTGAGGCGTGGGCTGCATATAAGGTCTGCGCGCCCCGGGCCATTGTAGCCGCCTCTTCCTGCCTCCAGCGTCCCTAACTATGCCCAAGGTTCAACCCCCGACTCGCCGTGTCCGTTCGCAAAACTCGACTCAACAGCGTCAGGCCCGGGCTGATCGCGTCCGGCAGCAAGGGAACGAAATGACGTTTCGTTGTAAGCGCTGTGAGGAGAAGAACCTTCGTTGCTTCGTGGACACTGCGTCTGGGCAGTGTGCGGGTTGTATTTCCGTGAAAGCTGAGTGCAGTTTGTTTGTAACCGAGGAAGAGTGGGAAAAGGTTGAAGCTGAGAAGCGTGAGAAGCGTTTAGCGCTTCTCCGTGCAGAGGCCGAGGTCGCGCGGCTTCGTCTAGAAGTCGCGGAAACTGAGGCCTTGGAGCGTTCGTACGCTGATCGAGATCACGCGATCCTGAGCCTTCAAGACCGTGCGAAAGAGCAAGCCGAGGGGAACTCTGCCCCTGGTACGGACTTTCCGACAACCGAACCATCGCTACCCGGACCGTCGACTGACTTGGGCTGGTTACAGGCTGACGCTTCTTTCGACCCTTCTTTTGATTACTTCCTTTCCCTCGAGGACCCGGTCCTTGCTTCTCTGGGTGTTTCCGGTGGTACTCAAGTACCAGTGACTTGCAGTTCGTCAAGCTTTCCTTTGGTTCCCAAGTGTTCTGACCCTCTGGCCATCCTTGCCACTTGACCAAGTATTTCCACTGACGACCGATTTTCCGCAGGTCCCTAATTTCTTCGACCTCGTACTCGTCGTCTTCGAGCTCTATATCCGTTGCTAGCTCGGCATCTGGAGGTGCTGGTTCCAGGAGTTTCTTGTGAAAGACAGGGTGGATGTGCATGCCTGGTGGCAGTTGGAGTTTGTAATTTACTGTGCCTATTTCCTCTAGGATTTCGAATGGTCCTACTCGGAGGTTATCCAGTTTCTTGCTTGGTCGCTTAGTTTTCAGGTTCTGTCGTGACAGGAAAACTTTATCCCCCTTCTTAAAGGTTGGTCCCTCAATCCTTTGCTTATTAGCCGCTTTGGCTGTTGTGAGGTTCCTGTGGGCGATGTTCTTGCTCAATTCCTCGTGTAATTCTCGCATGAGGCGGGCTTTATCATCTGCGCCTACTGCGATGCTTTCTACATCCTTTGGGTCTCGATGAGCAGTCGGCTCATATCCATAGTTTGCGTAGTGCGGCGAGTACTTCGTGGTCGCCGATCTTGTGCTGTTGTAGGCCAATTGTGCTGTCGGCAAGAGTTCAACCCAGTTGTCTTGCAGCTTGTTGGCGTACATCCTTAGATACTGTTCCAGTGTCTGGTTCGTTCGTTCCGTCTGGCCGTCCGTTTCAGGGTGGAAGCTAGTCGATAGCTTCTTCTTTACACCCAGTTTGGCCAGGAATGTTGTCCAATATTTAGACGTGAACAGCTTATCTCTGTCCGTTATGAATTCTTCTGGTATACCATGCTCTGATATCAATGCTTTGGAGACTTCATACGCGCAGTCTTCCGCCGTGATGGTTTCTTCTGTTGGTACGAACTTTGCTCCCTTAGTTAATCGACACACGATTACTAGGATTGTATCACAAAGTCGTCCTGATCCTGGTTCTAACGATTTCGGGAGCTTCACTATGAAGTCCATCGTTACGCTGCTCCATGGCTTGGTTGGTGGCTGTAAGGGTTGTAACAGGCCGTAGGGCTTATGTCTCTTGGGCTTGTTCTGATGACAAGCCAAACAGTTGCCTAGGACATCCTGCACCTTCGCTCGCAAGCGTGGTATCGCAAACACCCTTGATAGTCGCCTAGCCATTTCTTCCAGCGATGCGTGTCCGTATTCCTTGGACTCATGCAGTTCTCTGATGAGTTCTTCCCGTATGGGTGGAGCCACGTACGTTTTCCCGACTTGGGTCATCGCTCTGAGCTCCAACTCATCTTCTTGTATCTCCCGTGGGATTGGCCTTGGTTCTAGTTGCCAGTGCAACGCTTTCCTCTGCCATTGCTGCTGTAGTGTTTCCACCTGCTCGGCCACCTTAGCTACCTTAGCTAGTTCCGGCTGGTTGTATCGTAGTGTGCCATCGGGCATCTTCTTGAACATGGCGTCGTGTGGTTCTTCATGACTTTCTTCTCGTAGGTCAGACCTCCTGCTTAGAGCGTCTGCTGCTCCGTTAAGCGTTCCGGCTCGATGCGTTATCTTAAAGTCAAACTGAGCTAACATCTCAGCATATCGGACTTGTCGTCGGTTGAGTTTCTTGGTTGTCATGAAGCTTGCCAAGTTCTGGTGATCGGTAAAAACCTCGATCGTATGTGGTAGTCCCAGCAAATAGACTTCCCATTGTTCAAAGGCAGCTACTATCCCGAGTAGTTCCTTATCGTGAACGTCGTAGTTAAGTTCTGCTCCGGAGAACTTCCTTGAATGGTAGAACACTGGTCTCCATTTCTTGTCTGGGCACTGCTGTGATAATATAGCACCGAGTGCATAATCTGACGCGTCGGTCTCGACTCGCGTTTCCCGTCTGGGGTCGTACATTTCTAGTACGGGTGCTTCGAGGAAGATCTGTTTGATTCGAACAAAAGCCTCTTGATGTTCCTCGTTCCATTTGAACCCTATTTCTTTCTTCGTGATCTCTGAGAGGGGTGCTGTGATCTTCGAGTAATCCTTGATGAACTTCCGGTAGTAATTGGCAAATCCTAGAAAGGATTGCACATCTTTGACTGTTTTGGGTTGTGGCCACTCCTGTACAGCCGCGATTTTCTTTGGGTTCATCTTAACTCCCTCTGTAGATATAATGAAGCCTAGGAATTCCGTCTCTTTGACGTGGAATTCGCACTTTCCTGGCTGCAGGTACAGCTTGTATTCCTTGAGCTTCCTGAGCACTTTCTTGACATGTTCCACATGTTCTTCGAGCGATCCGCTGGAGTACACTAGTACATCGTCCAGGTACGCTGTGACAAAGATCCCAAGGTACTCGTGGAGAGCGTTGTTGATGACTGATTGAAAGGTTGCCGGCGCGTTCGTCAAACCGAACGGCATAACCGTATACTCGAACAGTCCGTATTTCGTTTTGAACGCTGTCATCCATTCGTGACCTTCTTTAATCCTGATTCGGTAAAATCCTTCCCGAACGTCGAATTTCGTAAACCACTTAGCTCCTTGGAGTCGATCCATGAGCTCTGTAATGAGTGGTAAGGGATATCGGTTCTTCCTCGTGACGCTGTTCAACCTTCGGAAGTCGACACATAGTCGCCACTTTCCGTTAGGCTTCTTTACGAACAAGATGGGTGAGGCCATCGGGCCTGATCCCGGTCGGATGAATCCCTTCTTCAGATTCTTCTGGATG